TTGTACTTACCGAGATCTCGAGCGGCGGGTGCTACGCGTCTACAGGCACGAGCGGCATCTCCGCCACGCGCACACTCACACCGCCTTCCTCTGCCAATGTACTCAACACTAGATCCAACTGACGATCGTTACAGTTACCTACTTTATTACTCTGAGTAAATCCACAAAAAGTTTGAAAGTATTCATAGTAATTGCTCACATATAGTACATGTGAGCATATTGTAACTGTAACTATATAACTTAGGTACAGTAGGTGGCGCGCGTATCGTACCGACAATTTTATTTGAAAGTCATATATCATTCAATTTAAGTGAATGTGTTATCATTTCTAATTAAATAATATAAACCTTTTAAAATTTAAACGATATTTCCATAATTATTTCTTCAGCGGCAGCAATGCGCCGGGTAACAGCTAGTAACAATATAAAATATGGTTCATACACGGTGGCAACATTATAATACCATCACAATATAGTATTTAATTGCTGTTTTATCACAGGGAGTGACATCTCATAATCCTTTAGTAAATGTCGACGCATGCGCAATACGACACAGACGGGCGCCATCGCGTCGCGACCATTCATCTCGCATCAATAAAGAAGCCAAATACCAATCAAAACACACAATCAGCTTCTTTAATAGAATTGTTTAGATCATTTAAAGGTCTTAATATGCAAGTAACAAGATTTTGCGACTACAAAATCCCAAAGAAGACACGATTTTCACATAAAGGTAAAGAAAGAAACGTACCTATATGATTTAGGACTTCGTGTAAGGACTTCATTTTGCATAGGAGCCCGACTTGATAGGTCCACTGCCGCTAAGTACGTGTTCGCAATGCATTCATTACCATGTTGCGGTTTAAAGTATAGTAGACTAAAATAGGTTTCGGTTGTCCGTGGGCTGCACCATCCACTTTCCATCTGGTGAATTGTAAGTCTATTTTCCATTCAAATTTAATAACAAAATACACATGACAGCTACTGAATTCGATGCTAAGAGATAATGCATTAAGGAGTTATTATTCTTTTTACATTTTTTTAGAAACATTTATTTCTTTTTAGTTTTAGAAGAAGATTTGTACTTTATTTTCAGTTTATTTTTAACCTTTTGATGAACTAAAGAATATCACAAAACAAGGCAACAACTAGAATGTCGTCCTAATAGGTACATTAAAAGCTTCACCTCTATTTTCCGCAAAATTTATATGGGACCACACCTGAAGTAGATATAACCTATTTCATAAAAGAAGAATAATTAAAATCGCTTCATAAGCAAAGAAGTTTAGACCGAATACGGATTGAGTACCCTCTTCCCTTCTAAAGTCTGTTAAAATAGTAACAATACAGAATGAATACACTAACCCTTAAAAATGTATATCACACTAGCAATCTGCCCCGGCTTTGCACGGGTAATTTCTGGATCTGGAATCTAAACCATCCAGGAACCCATTTAAATACACTATATATAAATACACACAAATAAATTTCATCAAAATCGGTTCAGACGTTTTTGATCTTAAGCAAGACTAACGGTCAGAAACTGATTTTTATATAAAGACTAGTGATTTTTTTTAAATTCTGATGGTAAGTGATGATGTAGCCTAAGATGGTGAAGCGCACTGACTTAACAAAAACCTATTCACTCTTGCCTTGAAGACACCCACACTGTAATTGGATGGAAAGACAGATGCTGGCAACTTATTCCCCTCCTTTTCTGTACGCATGACGAACGACGCGACGTAGCAAACCGCTTGGTAAGTCAACAACGAAAGGGTGGAAACCGGCCGAACGTCTGGTTGTCCGATGGTGGAAGGGAGAGGGAGGTATTAAATTATGCAATTCCTGCGCACACTCTCCGAAATGCATTGTACAAGTTTATCCAATTGCTGCAAATAATTGTTCCGGGTGTAGATTTTGGACCAAATATAATTAAAAATTGCTAAGCTTTACAGAAGATGTATGTAATAGTTACTTTTTACTAAGACTAAAACATGCTTTATGACAAAAAGATGATACCTGCTGCGGAGTTACGTTCGCCGTTTCTTTTCCGGTCAGAGGCGCCTCATTTCGAAAGCAATGTAGATTCGAAAAAATTACATTAGTCAAATTTGATTAATTATTGTCTTTGGTTCACCATTAAAAAGCCTAAGGTACTCCGGGTTAACTTTGACATCGGGACGTCAGTCACCTCAGTCCCCCGTGACCATGGGTGCTGGAAAGCACCCGAAACGTCGGGTATTAAAAATAAAATAAATAAAACGCGAAGAAATAAATACATTTTAATATAGGCTGAATTATTCGAATCCGTCAAAGCAATGTTAATGAACCATACAAGATGCATTAGTTAGTTAAACGACAGAAACGTCAGAACGTTTTGGCGGCATGTCGCTCTTGACTCCAACTTACAAATTACAAGGAGCGTAATTAATGCAAGCAAACAGTTCATTGAAGTAATTTTGAGGATGTTGTAGGCATGCGACGAAAATGAACACTCACCTACAAGACTTATACGGACTACTGGACACGGGTGCTTTGATGATTATCAGAACCTCTCCCTGTCAGCAATAACGTCCACGATACCGAGCGATTTTATTATGTGACAGTCGCTGACAAAGTCACATAATTATAGTAATTCTGAGTTAACTAACACCGATGGTAATACGATGCTACCCATTGAAATCTACATCTATCACCGATTAAGAATCAAAATGCAGATGCGTTGTGACGATTAAAGACTAAAATAGAATGCTACGTCACTAGTAAAGAGTTTCCAGTTCCCTACACTCACCGTACGAAACACAGCGTTTCGGGAGCGTGATCTTGTCCCGGTAAAAGGACAGGAAAAAACGATTTTATAAGGCAATAAAAACCGTTTTTTTCTACTGCACATAATCCTACCTCGATTAAATGCGATTATAAATAATGTTTAAGCGGCTCTTACGAATGCACTTTGGATATAAAAATTTTATTTACTTTAAACAAACATAAAACGTTTATCCGCATAATATATAAATCTGCAATTGCTATTTTAACAATTTTCCCAAACCGCACAGATAATAGAAAAAAAAGAGTTTCAAGTGGTTTTTGATAATTAATTTCAAAAGACAAAGAGCTCGTTCTGCGTAGATCGGACCATAAATTAATATTCAAAAAACTGAAGGTAGCCGGGCTAACTATGACATTGGGACGTCAAACATCTCAGTCCCCCTTCCCCCGTGACCATGGGTGCTGTAAACCACCTGAAACGTCGGGAATTAAAAATAAGTTAAAATTAGTTAATTAAACGCGATAAAATCTATATATATATATATATATATATATATATATATATATATATATATATATATATATATATATAGTTCTAAACAACGTGGTATTCGCGTAAATTTAAGAAATTATTAAGTTAACTACTTGGCCAAAAACCACTATAATTAATCTGCAAGTATTCTATCCGGAGTCGCGGGTAAAAGCTAGTATCTCAATATTTATAAAAATATATAGAGCCAATCTACGAGAATCGAAGTAAGGGAAAATTAAAATTTCCGTTAAAAAGATAAATTTGTGTCATGTCGAGAAATTGTAATAACGTAAATAACTTATCGAGAGGTTGAAAGCGAAATTGATGTTAAATTAGGAGGCCAACGAATTCACAGAGCTATTTTCCCCAATAAATATTAATGGATGGCCAACACGAGACGCCTTTGTTCGCGGTTGATCAAAGGGACACGATAGATACTTTAACGTCGACAGGCGAATAGTTAGTTTTAATGGACAGAAGTTTCGAGTACAATTCCGTATCATAAATGGAAAATGGATGACTTTTGTGAACAGCTGTCAACGTTATAAATTTTGATACCTAGGTATTAAGTGAATGAAAAATGCTGAATATGCTATAAATGTTATCTATAACATAAGCCCTCGAAAGTTCACGGCTGAACATAGGCCTCATAAGAGGGTGATTGCCATAGTTGGCACTTTCGATCAACAATGTTGGTATTGTTGATCGAAGGTTGGCACACTTGGCGGGCGAGTTGGCTACCGCACCTTATTAATTTTAGTCAGTAAGCCGCTGGTTTGTTTCAGTATTTTATTAGTTTTTATTATATTACATGCGATTGAAGTATCGTCTCTTTCGGGTATCGTAATGTGCGAAGGGCCTTTGAGTTGTTATCAGAAAAATATTGCTACCCATCTTCTATTCCTGTTCATTTAAATAATACTAATTTTTACGGATTTTATCGCGTGTATTTAACTTTTTAAATACTCGACGTTTCGAGTACTTTACTTTACTTTACAAAAATTAATAATTTTAATCTATGGTAATCGCGGTTAATACGACATCTAGACGTTGAAAATCTGTCTCCCCCGTGACCATGGGTTCTGTAAAGTACTCGAAACGTCAGGTATTTAAAAAGTTAAACACATGCGACAAAATCCGTAAAAACTAGTATTATTTAAATGTGTAGTGTTCGCGTAAATATAAGAAATCCTATTCCTGTTTCCCTCTATCGCCTATTACGACAAACACGGTATGATATGGGGTAGTGGACTCTGTTACACTGCAACACATGTCAATAATAGACCTAGAATTTTAGTACCAAGATAATACTGGAATTTTAGTAGTAGTAAATAAGAAAAATAAAGAAGCTTGAGAAGTGGGTACACGATACAACGAATATTTTATGTCAAAAAAGCTGCTTGTAAATTTTTGTACCTAAGTACAGATACCGTATACTATACAGTTAATAATTGCATCGATGACAGATAAGATCTCAAGCAAACAAGTGCCTCTTGTCAATTGAACTAATTACGCACTTCTCACGACAACAATAACGCGTGTACAGACTGGGCAACGAACTGCCTCAAAATTGTCGGAGATTTGATAGCACCAATTACATTCAAGCTTCTATTAGGTTAGTTCGGTGTTGGAATTAAGATACATTTTTACACAGGAAAACTTTCGAAATAAATTATAGCCGGTAAAACCGCTTTTAAATATTACATTGATTCCTCCTTCCTCATTCCTTCTATAGCAGAAACATCAATATATTCCATCAAAACTTCAAAAGACCATATAAGTCAATTTTGAAATTAAATACTTATTTATAATATAAAACATTCACGTAAAAAGTTTGAATCTTTTAAAAGCCTATACCTAATATTTCATCATCATGATTTTTAAAAGTGGTTATTATGTCTTAATATCGAGCAACTACCCCCCGAAGCTTAATAGAGGACAGGTATCCAATATTACAGACAGTGACTTCAATTTTATTTTACGTATAGATATAAAATTACCTTTTTTGCATTCCTCGATATTTTCATCCGAGTTGTCGCCGCAATCGTTGTCTCCTTCGCATACCCAGGATAATGGTATACATTTCCCATTTGCACATTGAAATTGCTTCAGTGAACACACGTCTGTAACAAAAAAAAATCATTTCATAACATAAATAAAACATTATTTTTTTGAAAAGGTAGATTGCGAAATACCAAAATTAAACTTAACATATAAATTTGTGATGAATATTTATTTCTAAGAAATAATATTTTTTAGTGATATAAATATTCATATTAACATAAATGTATAGTTGCCGACACGAGTGGTGAGCACAGATAAACTGTGGTGGGAGGTAGGTACACTGTCGGGCAAAATTATTGGATACCTTTATTATTTCAATTCGTAATTTAATATTTTCGGCGACTTTTATGAAAATGTTTACTCGAACACATCAACTTTTACTTTGATACTGTTGGCGACGCGCCTATAAAAATGTTTCAGTTTATTAAATCAACCGATGACGTTGCTATGAAAAAAGGGGCAGTCACGAGCAACGACGCTCTGATAAGAGAATGCTTAGTTAAATCTTTAAGAAATGTCGAATTAATGATATGAAGGTCTTGGGTTCGACTCCCAGGCCGGACTAGTTTGTTTGTTTTCCTAAGTAATATCGCTTAATAAATTCGTAAGGAATTTAAGATATAAATTATGTTACCGGATTTGTTCCCCGGTTGAAATCATCTTTCAAATGATGTAAATTCATAAGAATATTAAAGTGAAGTTAAAGATCGGATTTGTTCCCCGGTCGAGATAATCACTCTGTGCATAGGCAGAATTAATGGATATTAATTGCATAAATGTTGTTTTGTATAAGTTTGATACGTTTTGAACGAAAACAAATGCCTATTTGTTATGATTGATTAATGAGAACATTCATTTATATTGTTATCTGATTAAAGATAGTTTCATACAGTTCGAAAATTGTAAAAAAGCATTTAATTTGCCTAATATGGTCAAAATTGGTGTATTTCATAATTTAATTTTTTCTGATAGCCGAGAGCCGTGCAAAGTTAGTTGTTCACATAGCGTGAGTACACGGAAGCACGCTGGCCACGCCCTTAGGAGGCCGAATATGTAAAAATTTAAAATGTTTGTAATTCAGTGATTTATGTAAAAATTACTTGTAAAATATTTCAGGTTAATTGTACGTGCTAAAAAGGTAAATTCTGTGTTATTTTCATGTGAAAATTCCTGTGTATAAGTGAAATAATGATAGTTTTGTATAAGAAATTTAAAAGTGTTTTAAATAGTGAAATAAATAGAAAAAATGTAAATTAAACTATTGTATTGGTTAGCTTATATATAAATTCAAGTGAGAAACATTGTTTTAACTTTCTGTGTTAAATATTTAAGAAATTTCGATTTCGAACTTGTGAGTAAAATAGGCAGTTTTCGTTTAATAAATAAAAGGTTTTTTATGATATGAAGATATGATGTATATCATGGTGTAGATATTGTTTTGTACTACCTATATTGATAAATTGTATTTGTATATGATTTGAATAAATAAAGATATTGAGTGAAACGTGAGAGAGTAATAGTACAAATTCATGTAATTAAGTTGCGCAAGCGCGCAGATGGCGCGGCTCACTTTCGCGTTTAGCTTAGGGGTAGGATAGTAAATTGATTTTATTGCAATTCGTTCGGGAATCGTTCGGAAATAGTTCGGGAATCGTTCGGGAAATATTCAAGGAAATCGTTCGGGAATCGTTCGGGAAATATTCAAGGAAATAGTTCGGAAATAAATAAGAAAATCCGGGAAAAAGTTCAAGAAAAGTGAAAAACCAGCAGTATAGGGAAAAGTGATTACTCTCTCACGGAACGGTTTGAAGATAATTGCTGTTTCATTCCCAAGATCCTTTAAGTTATACAGTCCACATCGAAGAATTAAGGCGTCGGGACCGGGACGACTTCGGAAGACCCGTAATCCCCGTCTGAACCTACTTGCTGAAAAGGAAGAGGTTATCGCCCTAGTGTGTTACTCCGTTGCGGAGATCACATACGTTGTTCCCGAACCCAACGTAGGCGTGATAGGAGGCCGGATCGAGAGAAGCCTCGATTCCTGTTTCTTAGTACCCGATCCGCTAGGTCCTTTTCAATTGGTCCTTTTCAGGATCAAGAGGGACACCGACCTGGTCCTTTTCAATTGGACCTTCGGAGCCGGATTGAAGACCACCCGAACCCCGCCAGCTGGATCAAGGAACCAGCTGTGGACTGCTGGTTGTGGAAGAAGAAGACCTTCGGAAGCCGAGTGAAGATCAGCAACCGAAGGAAGCCAGAGGTTTGAGCTGAAGCAATAGGACCAAAGGCCTGAAGACCAGGACGGCAGCACTGAAGGGCTGGACCTGGAACTACCGGAAGAAAGAAAACCGGGATTGCAGCTTGGGGCGTGTGCTCGCATGGGGCACATATCGCAGCCGGGCGCAGGTGTCTTGTGAAGGCACTCATCGTGGCCAAGCAGGGCTTGGCATTTTTCCTGTCGGGCAAGCGTGCTCGGCATTTCCTGTCAGACGATCGTGTCTGGCATTTCCTGTCAGACGATCGTGTCTGGCATTTCCTGTCGGACGACCGTGTCCGGCATTTCCCGTCGGGTCATCAGGGTGCAAAAAGCATCCACCGCTGCTGCTGCCGGGCGAGGGTGCGCGTGGGCACCTGACTGCATCGCGGCCGGAGGAGGGCGCTTGGACGAGGCGTCACCGGCAACTGGGCGGCGAGCACAGCATACATCCCGACCACCTAACGGTGCCAAACGGTCGGGCTCTGGCATAACACCTTCGGGTGGAGCAGTTCTCTCGAGCGAGACTGCGCTTGCACTACCGCTCGACTGTTTCGTCATATTCCTTGGCGGGACAGTTCCTAAACCTTTCCTCCATTCCATTCCTGCACGACTCCATCCCTGGACGGCTCACCTCGGTAGGCCCCGTTCAGGATTGATAGGGCTGATAGGGCTGTTAGGGTGGTAGTAGGGTTGTAGGGTTGGGAGATAAAGGGGGGGAGGGGTAGTGGTGTTAGGTTGGGGTGTAGAAGGGTTGTAGGTAAGGGACTGTAGGGACAGTTAGGGACCGTAGGCCAACAATCACCTTCCTGCAAGATGAAGAAGGCACAAGACCAGACAGGGAGAAGCGAAGGGAGCAGGACAAGGACAGGGCTCTCAAGAAAAGCTAAAGAAGCGGAATCATCTGGAGCGACCACAGCTACTGCGTCAAATGGAGCAACTCCTTCAAGTGGAGCCACCACAGACACGTCCACATGCACGTGGGACTCAGGGACGTCCATGGCAACGACGAGCAACAGGACGGACACCAGTGGTACACAGGCCAGCACCGCACAACAATCCGTTATATCCAGGAGTGAAACGGTGGTCGAAAAAGTAGGTCAAAGGACCGAAGAAGCGGCATCGTCAAGGACAGTAATCGGGCACACTAGTGATAAAGGGTCACAGAGAGGTAGTAGGTCATCGCGATCGGCGAGGCTGAAAGCCGAATTAGAGGCGCGGATTAAATTCGAACGCTCAGAGCTCGAACGAGCACAGGCAGCTGCTGCCTTAGCCAAGTCTCAATGGGAGTTGGCACGACTCAACCGAGAAGAGGAGATCGACTCGAGTGAGGATGATGAAGAGCGGAATACTCAGGTGGAACCTTTCGTAAGGAGTTGGGTTCAGCAAACCATAATGAGCGCGCCGGTTAGTGTAGCACAACCCGATATTACTGATAAGGAAGCGTGTAAAGGATCACGCCGCAAAGGGGCGGAGGTCGAGCGCAACCTAGGAAATGCACAGAAAACACACGCGAGTGAGGTGTCAGAATTGACCGAAGCGATTGTGAGTGCAATAAAAATAGCTGGTAAAGATAAATCTTCCCAGCTTCATTTCCTCCAGGAATTACCGGTGTTCGATGGAGACCCGGGTGAATGGATAATTTTCAAAACGGTGTTTGAAGACACAAAAGGCCAATTTTCAGGGGTGCAAAATGTCGCACGCCTTAGGAGGGCATTAAAGGGCACCGCTAAAGAGGCGGTTAAGTCGCTGTTATTTACTTTATGTGAACCTGAAGAAATAATGAACGCTCTCGAAAGAAGATTCGGTAGGGTTGAGATGCTCATTCTAGCCGAAATCGAGAATGTAAAGCGTATGCCAAGATTGGCAGAAGATTGCCGAAATATAGGATCTTTTGCAAGTCGTATTACGAACGTGGTTGCCACAATACAAGCGTTGAATCAACCACAGTATTTATACTCACCGGAGTTAGTGAGCCGCATAGTGGAGAAACTTGGAACTATGATTAAATTTAAATGGTTTGAATATCGAGCTCAATATCCTTTGGAGCCAGAGTTACAGAAGATGGCCAAGTTTTTAAATTTATTGAGTGAACAATTTGGAACGTCCTTAAGCAATGAAAATGCGCCTGAAAAAAGGAAGCGTCCTGAATTCAGGAAGCAAACTGTACACACTGCAAAGGGAGGTGTACGCAGCTGTGCCGAGAGCGAGCGCTATATGCGCCGAAGTAATATGAGCGAGCGTTTAGAACGCCGAAATAATAAAAGGCACAACCGACAAGTGGTTATGATAACCCAGGACAAGCCTGTAAGTCGGGTAACACATAAGTGTGTTATATGCAACAAGGAGCACTCTATAGTGAGTTGTTACAAGTTTAAGGACATGAATATTCGCGAGAAATGGGAAGCCGTCAAAAAGGCCAAAGTATGTTTCCAATGTTTGTCACCTAACCATAGGAGGTTAGAGTGCAAAGCGAAAAAATGTGGTGTAGAAGGATGTAGAATGTCACATCATCGAATGCTACACCGATACCCCAATGAAAATACCTCGCCACAAGGGGACGAGGGGGGGTAAAGATGCTCAAATTACAACTGTTAGTACAGTAAATGCACTGGCATGTGCATATTTAAAGATCATACCGGTCGAGTTGCATGGGCCTAGAGGAAAGGTCAAGACAACAGCTCTTCTGGATGAGGGATCGACCATGACACTCATAGAGGAGTGGATGGCTCAGAAGTTAGCGCCTCGCGGACGTAAAGAGGGATTACGTATCGAAGCCGTGGGAGGTAAGCGAATTAACGACGA